ATACTCGCCGGTTGTTTTTTCAAAAATTTAATATGAAGCAGTTTTATTCTCTCGAACACTTCAACAACTTGACCAATGTAGTTGACAACAGACTTGTTCCCAGTGTAGGCTACAACTACCAATTGCTTTGGTTCAAATGGAATGTCAGTTGTTTTATCAGCTGATTCCAAAGAGTTTTCACTGTCATCTTGAAGTTCCATTTCAATTTCAGAATCATTATCTGAAGATGTTGAAGACTGGATTTTTTTATTTGATCGTTTTTTTTTGACAAACAATTTTGTATCAGTACCGCTACACTGTGTTCGTTTGTTTCTTTGATGACACTGAGATCATTTGATGTTGTTTCTTTACCAGGAATTATCTTTTTTCCTCTCTTCTGTGTTTGTTTGTCCGGTTTATTGAATCCACAATGATCTTGTAGCATTTCCTGAACAACCGTGCCAAAGATTTCTTTAACCTTTTCACCACCAACATCTAGGTTCTCATTTGGCAGTCTTTTCAAGACTTCATCTCTGTTTAGTGGAGATATTCCGCAAGCCGAAAAGCCAGAAATCAGGTTTTGTTTTTTTAGTCTTCGATGCAACTTCAACAATAACCCAGGAAAACGTGTCTTTGGTATTGTACCTTTGATGCGACTTTCTTTTTGCCAACATTTTAGGATTCTCTTCCATTCTTTCTTCATGGCTCTAAAAACTGCGACATCCATTGGTTAAAGGAGATGACTTGCATTTTGTACCAAACAGGTGAAACGAATGTTATTCAGTTGAGCGGCCTCAATGACTGGAAGAGAAAAATGAGAGGCAAGATTGTCACCAATAATGACTTTTGGTCCATGATCAATTTTGCGCCAGGGTCATCCGAAAGATTAGTCTCGTCATAGTTATAAATGTTACAGGGTTCAACGCCTTTTAATGTCTTCGCTAATTCATCGAAGTAACCATTCACAGTTTGTCCACAAACCTCTGCGCGTGAAAGTTTTACATTGTCAGCAATGCGTGTTGTCAGCTTATGGCGTTTGATAAAACTTAGCATCTAATCGAACCCTGGTAAATTTTTGTTAAACTGTCTATTTTTAACACCGGAGTGATCGAGATGATGTTTGACCATTAAACGAATATCTAATCCATCAACAGGCATTTTCACAAAGAACGTTTATTACCTTTAAAAGGTGACTCTCGCAATTTAAAGAAAGTGCAACTGGATCTCCAACTTTTTTTCCATGTTTACCTTTCATTCTGTTGTGCAATGTCCCGTATGGAATTTTAAATTTTTTAGATGCTTTTAGCAAACTCATAGTACCCTTCCGACAATATTGAAGGGCCTCTGACGACTGAGTTTCTGAATGTGAACAATAAGCACGACTCCCGTCCTTCCTCTTGTAGATCCTCATATTACGGATAGGTAGGTATGTACCTATAGGCATATAAAAAAACATGTTTTTATAGTTTTTTATTACTGTTTAGAATACGTTTTTACACTCTTTTACAAAAAAGTTACAAAAAACTTGGTAAATTTTATTTTATTTTTAACAATTTTACTATGTTTTTTACCTTTCAAATCAATTTGGTAAAATCTTTGTAAACTTTTAATTAGTGTTTATTTATTTTTAACCTGAAAATAGAAAAGATAGTAAAATAGTATTAAAAATATACTACGATATTATACTGAAAAAGTAATTCTAAAATAATTATCAATGTTACCCCTGGTATTAAAGTAACCGCAGTTGACGGTAACTATATAAAAAAGGTTTTAATTAAAAACCAGTTGATAAGAAATGCAATTTCAAAAAAGAATATGCAATTGATAAGAAATGCATACACATGTTAAAAGAAAAAAGGTTTTGAAACTTACCAGGTGTAGTACACGTAGAAAGAACTAAAGGTAAAAAATATATTATAAAAATCAATATTGCAATCAATGAGAAATTTGTACGCATTAAAAAGAGTTGTAGCACAAGAGGTAGATACTAAAATTACAAAGTTGTAACAAAAAATCAATATTTTAAAGAACGAGAAATGCATACGCATAAAATGTAATAGCTTTTTAAATTAATAGTTGCAGCACATGACTAAGAAACTAAAGTTAAACATATTGTAAAGTTTGCACATTAAAAAGTACGAGTTGTTTAACTTACCAGGCGTAGCACAAAAGGTAGATACTAAAATTAAAAAATGAGAAATCCATACACGACAAGTAATAATTAAATAAGTAGGAAGTACATATACATATATTTCTTCAATGGTTAATAAAAGTTATGCTATAATAACTTACCAGCTGTAGTCTGTGCATATTGGACTAAAGGTAACAAAAAAATTGTATAATCAAAAAAAAAACATCTTGAAATTGTCAACAGTCAATAAAAATAACAGTTATTAAATCAGTTCTGCTTTACGTACAACAATTTTACTAACAAAAAAAAGGTATGAAAAAATAATAAAAAACAAATTATATTACTGTATTTTAAAATTATATTATTGTATATTAGAAAAACACTAACAAGATATTTTTACAAGAATAAACTTATTATTGTAAAAGTATCTTGATATTTTTACATAAAATAAGCTTATTATTATAAAAATATTTTGTCAAAAACGTTATTGGCTTAAGCCAATAATGTTTTACTTTAATGTATAATAATGTTGTTTGTATATTTTTATATATATGGTGTATTAACAACATTGGCATCTGATACTATTAGTTAATAAAATATTCCAAAGCAATGGTTTAATCTTAAATCCATATACCATCATTGGTATATATAGTCTAAAAAACCTTAATCTTTGTTTACATGCCATCTAAACAAAGATTAAGGTTTTTAAACTTATCATTGTTTTGTTTTGTAAAAAAGTTATTATTATCAAAACTTATTAACTTTTTGAAGTTTTCTTTTCCATAACTTTTACCATTTTTATTTGAATTTTAATCTAATATTAAAAGTTAAAGTAAAACAATGTAGTAATAATTTTTTTGTTTACAATCCGCTTCCCCCCTATCGTCTCTTACCGATAAAACGAAAACAAACGTATTTCTCTTACCGATAAAACGAAAACAAAAAAAACGAATTTAGGTACCAAAAGTCCTAAACTTCTTAAACTATCTGCTCCCAATTACTTTTTACTGAAATTTGGCATGTGCAAAGAAAATGCATGTAAAAAAATGCCTGAATAACAAAAAAAGCGGACACGACATTCCTTCGACAACAAATTAATGTAAAAACATCAACGAAATTTTCTTGAAAGTTTTCAGCAAAACTAACCATAAAAAAGTTTAGTGATTATACATAAAAGTACTATAAAAATCAAGCCTAACCTTTCTTCTTTCCAAATATAACATTTGTTTTATATATTTCTAAAAAGAAACACCACAAAAAACGTTTGTCTAACCCTACCTAAAAAAAGCAGTATATTTAATAAAGCACCTTGTAACATATCAGCTCCCAATTATTTTTCGTTAAAATTTGGCTCATAAATAGAAAAAATTTTAGCACAAAAATCGGTTCCGTAAATCACGATATGCGCGTATATATATATATATATATATATATATATATATATATATATATATATATATATATATATATATATATATATATATATATATATATATATATATATATATATATATACATATATATATATATATATATATATATATATATATATATATATATATATATATATATATATATATATATATATATATATATATATATATATATATATATATATATATATATATATATATATATATATATCACTTTGTTACGGTTCTTTGCAAGTTTTGAAAATCTGAGTGAAAAAATACAAAAAATACATAAAGTCAATTTTCTTTTATTTAAAAGTTGTATAGATTATAGTTTATAGATCGTAGAGTATAGAATATAGAGAATTGAAAAATATCTTTAAACGATAAATAACTAAACAAAATTAACAATATCAAAATAATCAACCAAACAATGCAGACATTTTTAATTAACCGAGTTAACGCATAATATTTTATGCGCTAAGTTATATATAAATTTTTCTTTTAATTGAAACTTTTTTAAAGACGTCCATTAAATGTTTTTGAGACAACTTATTTCTAAGGTAATTAGGACGTCTAAAGAAGGTCTTAGGGACGTCAATAGGACGTCTTAATATGGAAATCCTGATAACGTCTTTATGTTAACGTCACTAGGACGTCCTAACAAAGACTTCTCTTGGACGTCCTAATTTGGTCTGAGATGTCGCGACCTAGTTAAGACGTCTGTGCCCGCTGGGTACATGCTTCTTTAAAATTTAACAATTGTTTTGATAAATTTTATTTTACTATAATAATAATAACTTTTAACTAATCCATCAAGGCGATAACCCAACTAAGTCTATTTATAGGTAATAAAAAACGCATGCAATTGTGACGCTGTTTGGACTATAAGGAAGCATAATTAGTTATGTTTTCTCAACTTTATTGCTTTTCCTTCATTAACCTTTTCTTCGTTGATTTGCTAAATAAAATGTATTTATAATACTTTTTTAGAATTAATTTTTTCCGTTAAATTAACACAAGTCAATGAAGTGCCATAATCAATCTTTTACATTTTGTAAATGCCATAATTCACTTTAGTTAACTTTTGACTTCAATACTTTTTGCTTGGTTGTAATATCAATTTTAATGTGTACCGTATGGAACCGCAATTTTCGTGAAAGTTTTTTTTTTTTTTTATTAAAATTAATGTAGAATGAAAACTTGAAACTAAAAAAAAATATTTATTAAAAAGTGTTCAGAAAGACATTTATCACATTTTTATGTCCTGCCTGAGCATTAATAATAGCTTCAAGTTAACTCTTAAACCTGGAGCAGGTAGTCTGAATGTAATCCTTTGGCATCTTGTTCTTCTCATTTTTGATGGCATTTTGTCGATACCCCTACACTATTGTAGGGGTATCGACAAGCCTTTAAGTCTTCATATACCCAGATTTAATAGTCAAGAGTTGACAAATCCAGAGATCCTGGTGGACATTATTTATTTGTCTAGTGTTTTAGCAGGTTCTCCTGGAGCCACCCCTGGGTCATATGGAACATATATGGTAGTATTCCATCTAGCTGATCAACCACATTATTGTCTAAAGATTATTGGGAATTATTCTAGAGCTTGAAATGGTTCTCCTGGGTTCTAATTGGTGTTGACCTTCTGACCATGTTTGGTGAAAACTGGAGACATTTTGAGACCATCAGAAAAAACCAGATGTAATATCATAACTAAAGCCGGATATTTGGTATTTAATGTGTACTTTATAAGCTCTGGGAATGCTTGATATGATTGATGAATAATAAAAAGATTGAGTCTACTGTTTGCAAACAGAATCAACAGTAAAAAAGAGGATGTTCGTAGGTGTCTTTATCAGAAAGCTTGGATGCTTTTTTAATCCTTCAAATCTTTTTTCTTTGAGACTTGAAATCAATGAAATTCTTTGAAACCATGTGCTTCGTAAACAAAGCTTTTAACTTTTTCTTTAAATTTTATCTGACCAGGTTTTTAAGGGTGTACTTGCTCTTTTTTTCTTTTAGACTATTTCGAAATTAGCCAAGTACAGCTTATTACTGTATGACTATTTTACCAGTAGCCTGCTTCAGCTTATTTGTTTATAATGAAATTCACAATGGTATACTTTTTTTCAACAATCAAAGTTGTTTACCCTTTATTGTCGTTGAATGTTATTAAATTCATTATTTTGAATAATATTGCATCATTTAGTTGTACGAACATCATACTTAACAAAAATTTAACTAATAAATAATAAGATAATGCTTATGATTTCATTGGTTGAGGTTTATCAGAAAACCATAAGCAATTTGTATTTGAATGAAATATCCATTTATATGTTTTTTCTGGAAGACTGACTAGTTTTATTATTTTTTATCTTAGAATAAAAAGATTTGTCGAGTATAAATTATTAGGATGTCTGATTTCTTTTTGACCAAGGGCATTTTATTTATTTTAAACCAAGTTTTTTATTTATTTTAAACCAATTCTCCATGAATTAACACACTATCTGGTGATATTTCTATCTGGTAGTTTCTGTTTCTCTGGGCATTATGGATTGATTAAGTTTAAATATCTATAGATTTCTCTGGAAACATGTTCAAAATCACATGTTTTACAGCTTTTTAAAATAGTTAAGAATCATATAAATGAAATCATTGATAAATCTGCTGTTAAATATGCAAAGTATGTTAAATATGCAAAGTATGTTAAATATACAAAGTTTTGTGAACTTTCTAGTTAAATACTCTTCCGCACCAAAAAGGTTTTTTAAATACCACAATAATAATAATAATAAAAGAATAGAGTAAACTGGGGTAAGAGTAAACGAAAAAAAAAGTGAACGGTTTAGCAATATATATATATTTTTTTCATTTACCACTATTTACTACATTACTATATACTATATACCATTACGGTATTGAAAGCTAAAACGAAAGATCTTTAAAAATGCGAGGCACCGTAATGAAGAGAATTTTATGCTCTATCTAAACTTGTAAAAATCGTTTTAAAAAATTTATTTTTGCTTCAACTAACTTAATACTCAACAAAATTCTCACCCTAGTAAAAAAAATTTTTTTTTTTCAAAAATATCAATTTAATATTACTAAACTAAAAATTTGTAGAAAATTTTATCACGATCCAGATTCTCTTTTAAAAATTGAATTTGCTAGTATTGGAAAAAAGTTGAATAAATGTTTTTTTGGGGAAAAGTAAACATGCTAACTGATCTCACTTATGCATTAAGATGAACGTGGCTAAACTAATTAATAGTTATTCTTTATTTAAAAAGGGAATAAATATATAGCCTTTGCTATCCAAAAATTAAAAAAAAAATGACTCGTACTTACATTTATAATTCGCAAACAACTTACAGTGAAGAAAATTTGCAACTTGCAGTAAAACAAATCAAAAAAAAAAAGGAAATATCACTTGGTAAAGCTTCAGAGACATAAAACATACCAAAGGCAACTCTTCTCAAGCGTGTGTACAACAAAGTCCAATCACATGGTAGAAGTACAACTACCGCGCTAAGTACAGCATTTGAATTTGTTTTTGTTTCAGTACTTATCAGTTTAGGCAATCAGGGTTTCGGCATAACGTTTGCAGATGTCAATGCAATAGTTGGGGGGTATTTATTATCTACAAATTAAAGTCATTTGTTTTCACCATATAATATACCAGGACGAGAATGGTATAAAGGTTTCATGAAGTAATGGAATCATAAATTAAGTGTCAGAGTAACATGCAATATTTTTTCTCTCAGAGCTTCCTCCTGTACTGAAGACAAAATAACAAGTTATTTCAATACACTTTCTTTTCAAAATAATTTCTTGAAGCAAAAATCAACATATTGTGCAATTTGTGGAATTTGACGAAGTTGGATTTTTAGGCAATCAAAGTAAACAGCATATAATTTGCAAAGTCAGTGTTAAACGCCCTTTAAAATTGGTTGGTAACGACGAAAACAATTTAAT